CCCCAAAACCCCAAAACCCCAAAACCCCAAAACCCCAAAACCCCAAAACCCCAAAACCCCAATTTGGAAGTTCTGAATGAATAAAATTATACATAAATGGTAAATAATATGTTATGGCACTTCGATTTTCGATGCAGTTCCTTTCCATACATGCAGGGCTATGATACTGCAAGTTTTAGAACCTAATCTACGCGAAATCGGAGTCTTTCACCACCTAACTAATCTTTTCTATAGGAGTATAAAGTAAACGATCTGAAGAAGTTCTTCATGAAACTGATAGATGCTTTTTCAAATGAGAGGACAAATGACTCCCTGAATATTTTTGTTGACCTGATGAGATGTTATTCGGAGCATTTGCAAGCTAAAGCTGCCGGGCACCCTCTCACCCTTGAAGATGGGTAAGAATTGAATACTCTTTGCTAAAATTCTTGTCATAGAGACTGGTTTTGACTTCCAATCTGGATCTCTCTGACCCTCTCAAATTTCATCTCTGATTTCTAAATTTTTAGAGGGAATATCAAGAACAGAATTCTACAGAAAATGAGCGAGTTATTCTGAAAACATGGCCTAAACGAAGAGTTTAATACATTCTTGCCAATACAAGGAAAGGTAAGCCCTCCTCAAAATTCGAACAGTGATACTAAATATCTATAGGGAATTTCGTTGCTGACCGAAGTCCAGGTAAGATCTCAGTGCCTCCTAGTCTAACACCCTAAATCTAGATGAAGGATGCTAATTTACACGCGAAAATCATCAAGATCCTTCATAGCGGGAAAGATGAAGTTCCTATTTCAAAAGTAACCTCAGAATTCTTATTTTTAGCACGAAGGGAAGATCAATCAGCTATTGGAAAAACACCCGGAGTGGAACAGGAGATTCCAGATTTTCCTGAGCAATAACCAGAGCTACCAAGAAGAAGAGTCCGAGGAGGAAAAGACCCCTCTTCCATCTAAATCAGCTCATACCACCAGAGGAGGAGTAAAGAGTCAGAAGTCTCAAAGAGAGACTAAGAGACCCCGAGAGGAGTCAGCCGAAGTAGAGAGAAGAGTGCATAAATAAGTACGAGGTTTCTAGAAATGGAGCCTCTAACGACCAGGACCAGTATGATCCCTCTGAGAATAATGCATCTGATGAGAATAGTATGACCGAGGCTAAGAAAATACTGGAAAATTCAGGAGGCAAGATTCTTTCCAAGACCGAAGCTCAATTCTTTGACGAGCTTAAGAAGATATTAGCTGATGATGATCTCTATTTTGATTTTCCTGACCAGAAAGAGAGTCTCTATACAATTGTAATCAAGATGTTCTCACTGTATGTCGAAGGAATCTGAGGAGCGGATGAACTCTTCGAAATTCTTGAAGAGCCATTCAGACATATTGACGAATTTGAGCAATTTAAAACCTTTTGTTTAAGCAGAGAAGCAAACAGAAGAAAAGAAGATATTTGGTATTTCAAAAATTTAGACGCAGATAATTTAAAAGAGTGCGAGAGGCTTGATTGAAGTTATTCAACAATCCCACCTTCTTTCCCAATGTCGACGTACACAGGGCAGAAGGGTACTTTTATCCCAGAAGTTATCAACCATCGTGTCGTCTCTGTTCCTGTTGGATCAGAAGGAAATTTCACTTTCAAAGCTAAAAACAAGCACGAAGACGCTTTGTTCAAAATTGAAGATGAGAGGTATGAATTAGATCAATGAATCAACCTATGCCAAGACTCGATCAAAACTCTTGAAAAGGCAGCACAGGATATTTCTGACCAAGGTTCGAGCTACGTCTTCGATGAGGCCTTGTTGAGCCCTCCTAAATTAGGATGGATTTACCAATGCGTTGCAAAGAATTCAAAATACATAGATCTTATAAAGACTTATCCTTACAGAGTAATTCCAGTAGTATTAAACACAATGAAATAACTTCTTAGTTGATTTCCTTCGTAAGAAGGAAGAAATGAAGAACTCTTGGAAGCAAGAATGAATCAAACACTGGGCTAAAAGCCTCGACCACAAATGCTTCTATTTCAGACAAAATGAGAAGAAGACCCAGTTGGTTAAAGAATTTATGAGCCAGATGAAGGAACGTATGGAAGCAAGGCAGGGTTTTATGAGTCTTGAAAGCCAAAAACAAGCACTAGAATTTTACTCTGGGCTTACTTCTGAGATGGAAGTGGAGTTTCATTTAGATCCAAACATAAACCCTCAGCATCCAATGCTACTTGATGATGAAGTGTATCACGAAAGGTTTGAGGTCCTGCCGCATTTCAGATTTTTGATCAATGACATTGATAATTTAAGACTACTGATCAAATATTTATACGTTTATATCGATAACCAGAACGGGCAAAGCCAGAGACAGAAAGATTTCTTGATCTCCTTCACCAAATACTTCTTCAATATAGGGTTGATAAAGAAGCACCTGGATTCCCTAGACATGATCGAGCTTCCAGAGGAGGCTCCAGAGCTAATCAAGAACACCCAGGAATTTTATAAGAAGTATGAATCTGGTGAACTTAATGATGACAAGATATTTGATGTATTCTTTTCTCAGTCCCAAGAAGATGTGGTAGTCAATATTGGTACCAATAGGAAAGATTTCTTCAGGGAAACCATCCCAATGAGACCAACCTCAAAAGATGATGTTCTAGAATCAGACTCAGGGGACTCTGACGAAGAGGAAAAAGATTCTAGCGTCCTTTCTAACAAATTCGAGAGCTACATCAAATATGATGTAGACCAAGAATTTTCTAAAAGAGTGAAGACAGCGAGGTTCCTTCCTTTGTTCACTGATGATCAGACTCTTTTGTATGGAACTAAGCACTTTTATTTCCTAATTAGATATTTCATGACTCTTTATGAAAGACTCCAACTAGTGAAGAAGGCAGTAGCTGCCAAGCTCAAGAAAGATATTTCAGAGATTAAAGAAGAGAACCAGAGAGATGTGACAAAGATCGAAGCTGATTTTGACAAATTAGTTGAGCTTAGATTAAGGTAAGTTTGATCTCTCATCTTTTAGATATGCTATTGGCATCCTTTTCGAAATGTCAAAGAATGCTAAAGAGATAGCACTATACGAAGACTGTCTTAGGCAACTGCTTGGAATGCAAGCATATGTGCTATTCACATTTGATAAAGCAGTCTCAAACTTTTTCAGGGCAATTAGTTCTTTGAAAAATGATAACTTGGCCTATGAAAGTTGGAAACTCGTGAAGAAATATGAAGACTCTCCTGTCAAATACAAGGAGGAAATATATTACAACGATTTTATAAGAATCATACCAGTCGGAGTTGAAAACGAGATATTTTTCAGATTTGGTAAGTTCTATCTCATAAAACTCTAGTATATTGTTCTGAGACAGGGATTATCTCCTGACACGGATTCAGTATCGAGCCTTATACTAGCAATGTAGCACTCGCACAGAAGATGAAGGATTATAAAGTAGAATATACTAGAAGAAATGAGCCTATCAACGTGGCAACTCAAGATGAATCAACCTTATGCTTCAAGTGTAACGAAAATACTAGCAAGAATGGCTCTATTAAGATTCCATATAATCCAGTTTACTTGAGAAGAAACTTGAAGAAAGTTTTAGCAGCAGGAAATTCAAGGTAAATTCATCGGTATAATTCATAGTTTGGATACTAAGGCAGATAACGAGAATGTGAAGATGGAAAACACCCTTCATAGCAATTTCTCGCATAAGAATCTTAGAATCAACTTCAGAAAAGAGAAAGAAGATAGAATAGTCAGGAAGCGCCAAAAGATTTCAGAAGAAGCAGAATTAGAGACGGATATTATAAATGCAGTGAAGACACAGAGCTTCATTGCTTCAAAATTCCTATAACTGAGCTCTATAGAAGGGCTGCAAGATATTATTGCACCATCGATGAAGTATTTACCTAATGTTTAAAGCCAGTCTTTGCGTCATTTTCAATTTTTTCTTTATAAGAGGGGTTTTGGGGTTTTGGGGTTTTGGGGTTTTGGG